TGAGGGAAGCGGCGGTAGAAGGAGACGGACTCGTCAAAGGTGACGTCACGAGAGTGGAGGAAGCGGTGAGACGGCGGGTGGTAGAAAAGCCAGTCAGACGAGTCCAGGGGGAAACCGAGGAAGACACAGGGGACAGTGCGGGCAGTGAGCTTGTCCGTGCCAGAGGCACGAACGTGAGCAAGGCAGCCCCAGACGTGGAACGCAGACGCGTCACCGGGGGACCCGGTCCAAAGGAGGGTCGGCGAAACCTGCGGCCGCTGGGAGCGTGGCCACAGGTTAAGCTGGTGAGCCGCGTAGCGAACAGCGAACGGCCACAGAAAATGGGGGGCATCGGCATGGATCATGGAGGTACGGGCGACCTCCATGACCAAGCCGATGCGGCGCTCAGCAACCCCATTCTGCTGTGGCGAGTCCGGCAAGGTGTACGACTGAGTGATGCCCTCCGCACGACAGAACTGTCCAAGCCGACCAGAGGCGAACTCGCCGCCACGGTCGGAGTGGAGACACAACACGGGGAGACCGCGGTGGAGACGCGCAGCCACAACCCACGGGAGAAGAACGTCGGGCACGTCGGCCTTCCGCTCCAGGGGAAACACCGTGGTGTAGCGCGTGTAGTCGTCAACGAGCACAAGGAAGTAGCGCTCACCGCGCGGTCCGGGGACGGGGGCAGGGCCCCAAACGTCCAAGTGCAGGGTCTGAAGGGGGGCAGTAGCAGGACGCAGCGAGGAGGAGTGAGGAGCACGGCGGAGCCGACCCTCGACGCAAGGCGTGCACGGTGGCGCAGTCGAGGGAGGAAGGGCAGGGAGCGACGCGGGGAGACCTAAGACAAGACCGTGCTGGGACATGTGACGCAGACGCGGGAGAGCAGGGTGACCTAAGCGGTGGTGCCAGAGAAGGGAGGGGTGAGTGAGGGACCGACACGAGCAAGCTGCAGCGACCTGGGAGGACGCACCAACCGGGGGGGAAGCGGTGTGTAGGGTAAACAGACCGGACACCGGGTCCCGGGGGAACGTCGCAAGGGGGGAACCTGAGACAGCCTCAGAACAGACAGCGAACCGCTCGTGCCCGGGGAACGTGGTGGTGACGCCGAGGTCCTGGAGACAGCCGACACCAACCAGGTTCCTGGAGAACGAGGGAACGTGGAGGCCAGTAAGGGAGCCCGAGGGAACTGCCGGACAGGGAAGGGACGTAGAACTGCGCGCGACGACCGGACCCGCAGAGGGGTCAGCGAGAGAGACAACAGCAGGTGCAGCAAGCGGCGTGAGCGTGGAACGGTCGCGGAAGAAGCAGGCAGAAGCACCAGAGTCGAGAGTGAAGGACAGCGACGCAGTGGCGGAGGCCGCGGACGGAGCCGGTGCAGCGACTAGACTAGGCAACCTAGGCAGTCCTACGCCTGTCGCAGCAGGGGAAGCTAAGCTACACAAGGGTGAAACACCTAAACTAGAGTACACATGGTAGTAAGATCCATCAACACTAGAAGCGTCAGCATACAAAGCATGCAAAGCAGCACCTATCTGATCCATGTCTAACTCAAAGATCGGCACGCCCTGGCGGAGCAGGCTGTGCCAGTCAGGGAGGTCCGGGGCCGGGCCAAAGCGACGACGAAAAAGATCGTCGAGGCGGCGGAAACAGTGGGCGGTCGGGTGCGGGCGGCGGCACAGAGTGCCGCGGAGAGGCCCGGTCTGAAGCTGGTACTGGCAGGTCACAGCACTGGAGCCGCTGGTAGACGCCAAGCTGCGCGGGCCGCCACCACGGCCACCGCCTCCGGAGGTGCCGGGCCAACCAGGCGGGAGACGAGCCCACGGCTGCGGCGGGTGCTGCTGGGACGGCGGCTGCGGCTGGGGCTGGTCCTGCTGCTGCTGGGGCTGCTGCTCCTGCCCACCGGTGGTAGTCCCCTCAGGCGGACTACCGTCACCACCACCACGACCACTACCACCTGCGTCACCACCCCTACCTCCCTGGCGGCCACGGCCACCGCGACGCGAGCGCTGCTGCGGGTGGACAGCAGCAGCCGTCTCGGTAAGAGGGGTCGCCGTGGCGACCGCAGCCGAAACGTCAGTGAACGTGCACGGGGATGGGGCACAACCGTGAAAGATAGAGACTGCCGGCGCACCGCTCGACTGAGCGATAGTGCGCTGGCGAGTCTCGATCTCAGTGAGGGTGTCGACAAAGGCGGTCAGGGTGAGGTCACCCGGGTGCTGGCTAAGAAAGTGGTCGCGAGCACTAGCGAGGCGGTCTGGCAGGCGCATAGCGATAAAATAGAGCGTCATGCAGAAAGGAGGGGGGAGCGCAGTGAGCTGGGCAGCAGTGCTGGCAGTGCGATAGCGAGTCTCTAGGGCACGCAAATGAGTGGCAAAATCTGCGACAGTAGGGAAGGCAGCCAGGTCTGGGAACAGCATCGGAAAGAGCAAGCGGCCAGCAGAAGCGGAGGCAGGGGTGGAATAGCGAGCAATAACGGCTTCTAAATAAGCTTTGGCCGTTTCAACAGTAGCAAAACGCGAGCGCTCAGACACAGGGAGGGCGTGACTAATAGCAACCTGAGCTACTGCATCGCGTGAGTCCCAGACCGCACAGGCTAGCGCAGCAGTAGAGAAAGCCTCACGGTCATCAGAGGAGGGGTCAGCAGGGAGGGGAGTAGGTGCAGGGGGACGGGGGAGCAAGCCATCAGCATGGACAACCAGAGAGTGGCCATCCTGGCGCTGACCTGTAAGCTGGCGGCGAAGATCGGAGAGCCAGGCGGCGAAGTCAACCGCGTGGCCCTCAGCGTCCAGGCGGAGCACAAAGTCAGCCATCGTGCAGGGTCAGCGGCACAGCTCCTCAGCGACACAGCGGCACAGCAGCACAGCTCCTCAGCGGCACAGGAGCACAGCGGCGCGGGGACACGGCGGCAGCACTCTCCAGTAGGGCAGCAGCTAGGCGTCCCAGCGCAGGCAAGCAGAAGACACAGGGCCCGAGAGGACACGGCAGGCCGAGCAGGGGAGGCGGGCAGGTGCTCTAGGGCCGGGCTGGTGCTGGGAGGGGCCAGGCTGGTGCTGCTAGGGCCGGTCGGGCATGAGGAGGGGCCGGGCAGCGCTGAGGAGAGGCCGGGCGGCGCTAGGAAGGGGCCGGGCGGCACTAGGAGGAGGCCGGGCGGCACTAGGAGGAGGCCGGGCGGCACTAGGAGGAGGCCGAGCGGCACTAGGAGGAGGCCAGGCGGGCGAGCGCTAACAGCAGGCGCGACAGGGGCCAGCGGGCGCGACGGGGCCTAAGGGGCGCGACGGGGCCCAGCGGGCACGACGGGGCCCAGGGGGGGCGCGACGGGGCCGAGGAGGCGCGACGGGGACCAGCGGGCACGACGGGGCCCAGGGGGGCCGCGACGGGGCCTAACGGGCGCGACGGGGCCCAGGGTGGGCGCGACGGGGCCTAGCAGGCGCGACGGGGCCTAGGAAGCGCGAAGGGGCCCAGCGGGCACGACGGGGCCTAGGAGGGGCGCGACGGGGCCGAACGGGCGCGACGGGGCCCAGAGGGTGGGGACGCGACGGGGCTTAGGAGGCGCGACGGTGCCTAGGAGGCACGACGGGGCTCAGCGGGCTCGACGGGGCCCATGGGGGGCGCGACGGGGCCTAGGAGGCGCAACGGGGCCCAGCGGGTGCGCGTTAGGGCCTAGGGGTCGCGACGGGACCCAGTGGGCGCGACGGGGCCCAGGGGGAGCGCGACGGGGCCTAGGAGGCGCGACGGGGCCCAGCGGGCACGACGGGGCCCGGGGGGGCGCGACGGGGCCTAACGAGCGCGACGGGGCCCAGGGGGGGCGCGACGGGGCCTAGGGGGCGCGACGGGGCCTAGGAGGCGCGACGGGCGGAAGCGGTAGGCGGGGGGATCCTAACCTAAGCGTGATACCATGTTAACGTAGAAACGAATGATTACAAGAGGTGGAAACCTAGAACAAATACTAGTTGGTTGTACTCACTAGAAGCATACCTCAGTCTAGCCTATAACTTCTACATAGATAATATGTATAAGTTGACAGACGAAGCAGTTTTAGTTGAACGACAATTGTAGCAGATCAAGTAGGCGAAATCTCGCTACAAAAGATTCACGTTGTAGAATAAAGATAGATATTATGGTTACTATGTTAATAGGGCTCAGAAAAAAAATCATAGTAGTACCAAGATAACGGTTTGGAATTTCTTCCCACCAAGAATCGGGAATGCTATAAATTATGGCATTTCCAAATATTTAAACTAATTTTTGATAAACATGGCTGTAAAAATAGAAGGTTTCAGGCCTTAATGTTATTATTGTTATTATTAAAAATTTTGTCCATAATAAGATACTAATCAGCGTGAAAATGACACAAGTATTTTAGATTCACAATTTTGTAAATATGTTTTTTTTACGAGAAGCATACTAATGCAAATAAAAACATGTTATTCTGAACAATAATTTTATCAGGTGCTAATTTTGTTTCCACATAATTCTTAATAATGAAATAATGTACTATGAATGAGAAAACAACTACTGATTGATGCAAAATAGTCAAGCACAGGCATATTATGTTTTTTGTTGAGAAGATTTGATTTGAATAAGAAGTGTATCAATCACGCGGACCCTAATACACTAAGTTATTTAAATTGCACTGCATATTTGAGTGTGGCTTCAAACTCTTCCCAGAAAAGCTCCTAGATTCTGGTTTCCGACACTGTAGCTCATGGTTACTTGCGATGGACAGATAGTATGGAGTATTTCGATTTTTGTGCCTGTAATCCATGTACATTGCTATATACTCCTTTTTAAATGCGAATATCAGGGCCTCAGCTAGGATTTTGGGCATCCTGTCTAGTCAGGGCTAGGCCTTAAAAACACGTGTACTGGTCAGGGTTGGACGTCAATGTTCATGCTGTTTTGTCAGGGTTGGCATCCAGCACTTAACTGCAGCCTCAGGGTAATCTTCAAAACAGCCCAAAATGTTGCTTTAAGTATAATAATAGCAGCAGCATAACACCAGAGATAATCAATATTCACAGTACTGCAGCATACATGTGGCTCGACTCAGAAGTTTCCACCATCCTCCTCATCATCACTAGAACTAAACCCGCTGCTGGAGCAGCTGTTCTCATCGTCCGCTCGTGCCTCATCATCATGCTCCTCTTCGGACAACACCACCACTTTCTCTTTGCCCTTGGCAGACTTCCTCGCACGCACTTCGCTCTGGTGGGCCCTCCTTGGCCGTCTCTTCTTCATGCCGCGCCACACCTCAATGACCCTATCCCAGTTCATGTCATACTCTAGCAAACTCATGCACATCAGATCCTCCAGCTTCCCGTTGCACAGACTCGTCCGGTTCCAGCTCTTAATCACATTTTGTCGCGAGAATCCCCTCTCGCACTCAACAGTGTTGAGAGGAAGCACTGCCACAGCCACCCACAGGCGCACGAGATTCGGGTAGCTGCGCGGCCAGTCGCTGGTCTCCAGGATGGCTGCAAGTCCGGCATGGAATGGCTGCTCCTCTTTTGGCACACCAGCAAGCACTGGCACGAGGGTGCTGAGTTCCTTGCGTGCCAGCCGCTTGTCGACTCCTGCGAGACACATACAGGAACAGCAACACTCGTAAATCAGCAACACTCATACAGGAACTGCAATATTTTAGCAAGTTGGGCATATAATATACATTGGCATGGATAACCTTACCTGGCAGAATTTCAACGCGGTCGCTGGCGTGGAAGAGTTCGACCACGCTGTCAAAGTGCTCGGCGCACTCCTCGTCCCTTGCCTCCGTGTTCCGCGGCCATGTTCGGGGCATCCACAGCTTTGACCCGTTGAGCCGCTCAAGGTCGCCGAGCCGCAGCTGCACGTTGTAGATGAGCTCGGTCGCGTAGGAGCGACAGGTGAGCGTGCAGGAAGCTTTGTCGCCGCGGGCAGTGGTGTAGTTTGGCAGCGGCTCCTCGTGAAGCTCGAATTGATGCACTCGCTCCATTCCGTCTGCATCGACGCCTTGCACGATCACATCTCGGTTGCTGGCGTGGCGCTCCAGAAACTTGGACAGGCGATCGCTGTTCGTGCCGAAGTTAGGCCCGCAGTTGACGTAGCGCGAACGAATGAAGACGATCGTTCGCCGTACCTGCGACTGCACGCCCGTCAGGTCGATCTGTAGGAGGGTGTCATGGGATGAAATAAGAACACGAGGAAGTAAGTAATTTTTTTATTGATGGCAGTATGTTTTTTGTTTGAATTGGTTGGAAACCATTGCAACCGCAATGGCTCACCTCGCGCTTCTGGAACAGCAGATTGAGGCTGTTGAGCTCCTCGTGCACGTCGGCGAGGAAGTACAGGAAAAAGTGAAACTTGTACGATGTGACGATGTGGTACATGGGTTTGTCGTAGAGGTGCAGCAGAACGATGACGGCAGGAAGCACCGCCACCAGCCTCAGAATGGCGCCGCCACGACTGAGCCACCGAACAAGGTGAATCCCTTGCATCTCCAGATTTGTCGCCGTGAAGATCTTTTGGAGGTCCTTGAACATCTTGTGCCAGTTGTGTGAACGCCCCAGCAGCTCAGCAACCGCGCGGATGATGGCATCCACAATTCCCAGCTCAGGCAGCGCGTTGGCAGCATCTCTGGCCGCGAGGGCTTCCCTGGATGGACGGGAGTAGAAACACGACGAAACAGTGGTTAGTGCACGGTTTTCTCAACGGGATATGAAGTCTATGCATGAACGAACCGATGCGCTATGCAGTGGACAGAAACCACATGCGGGATCCGCTGTCGAAGGCGCCCAACGACCCCGTTCGTGGCTCCAACCATCACTGCGGCACCGTCGGTGCTGATGCCCGACACCTTTGAGAGACTGATGCCGATGCTATCGAGGTAAGCAACAAGAGAGCCTTCCAGAGAAGCTGCATCACATTTGTCGACAGGAAGAAGCGTTAGAAACTCTGTGACAACAATGCGCTCGCGAAGGAAAGTAGCAAACACAATCATGTGCAACCACGAACTCTGTCGGTACTCTCGTCACAGCTCAAGCCAATGAACGGGCTTGACTCCAAGTGCTCCCGTTGACGAGCTCGAAGGTACATGGCTGTCGACTTGGTTAACTCCTGAAAGCCATACCTGCGCAAACCATGCAGGGAGATTAGTACATGCGAGAGATCAACACATGTTAAATAGTAAACGAATAAAACACCCAAGGACTTACGTTGTGAAGTAAGACCCGTAGCCTCGTTTGGGAAAACCAGGAGTACGTCGCTTTGAGAGGTGCCGCACAAGTTGCACCCACATCTCGATGGGCGCGTCGGACTGACAGATGAAAAGCAGAGTCTCCAGCAGTGCAGTAACACGCTCGCTCTGGACGGTATGTGTTTTCGCCAAGTCCTCCATGCGCAGCTGCCCCTCAGCGATCGCAGTGGCGGTGGCTTGTCTCCGCATCGCTCTCTTGTGCTTCCGCGTGCGCTGGTGGTTTTGCATCGCCTGCGTCTGGACGTCGGTCGCACCTTCTCCGCCCTTGCCGTAGTTCGTTCCGTGCCCGCCATGTTCCATGCAAGTCTTACACTTCAAAGCCGGGAATCCTGCACGGGTCTGATTAAGCACAAGCCAAGGAAAGTCAGTACTCCACCGCTTTTTAAATTGCCAGAGAGCCTCCTGGTACTTTCGTTCGGCCACGTCTTCAAGTTCGGTGTCCGATGACGAAGTCGGAGCTGTAGATGGTCCTGAAACAACAGGAGGGACGACGTGCAGAGTCGGAGCGGGAGTGTTTTGCGACCGCCCGAAACTCAGGGTTGCCTGCCGATAGCGTGAGGGCTCGAGCTTCTTCGACGGCGGTCCAATACGGGTCGACCCTTGATTAAAAGAAGTGCGGGGCGTAGTGCTTCGCTGAGGTGGTGTTGCTACAACATGGCGAGATGCCTCCTCTACTACTTCAGCGGTGTGCGTTCGAGGGGGAGGTGCCGATGCGGGAGGATTTCTTCGCAGTAAGTCTAATCCTGTCACGGCACCCGGGTGGGACGCTGTAGAAGGATCGTCGGGAGCCTCCTCCTCGTCGTCAGATCCTGGCGCAAGCATAGTGCCCCCTAACGAGGGGGCGGTTCACAGCAGAGAAACAGACCAGCGAGCACAAGCTCTATCGTCTAGAATGGTTGGATGATTCAAGGCATGAAAGGGAGCTGTGGGGAGGAAGGACCATGAGCGATGGCTGCGCGGGAGTTTGGTCCTCCCCACATGGAGTGGTTGGCCGTCCAACCATCCATGCATGCAATGCTGCGTCAGCGAGTGGACCGCAGCACCCCAACACCTTCTGAGGCCTGGCTGTGGTGCGCTGCGCTGGCTGTATACTTAGCCGCTATTGGCCAGAATTACAGGATTTGCAGTGCACGCGGCAAACTGGTCATTTCGCGGCAACAATCTACAGGCAAAATGTGCGCTGGCACGAAAATTATGGAACTATGGGCAGAAAACAGGGGGTACACCCGTAGCGCCCCCCCTGAAGCCAGATTCGAGGTATCAGGGTTATCCTCGAATGCATACTGAGCAGTCAGGGCTGGTACACGAACACTATACTGAGTTCTCAGGGTTGTCATATGATAACCATACTGAATTTACAGGGTCAGAAATTCATTTAATCGGATTTTTCAGGTCTGGCACCTCATACTCATCCTGAAAATCAGGAATTCAGGATAAAACATCCTGATATCTGAGGCCCTGGCGAATATGCGTGTCTCCATGAAAGTAAGTCGGGAGTCCACGAAAGTATTGACGGAGTCCATGGGAGCAGCAAAACTTCAATGCGTGTCAATGAAAGTAGGGCTTGTCCACGAAAGTATGAAAAGTTTCGTGGACAGTCCGCGGCAATAAGTTTCCCGCAGCTCGGCTTTGGGTCATTTGACTATCAGCCCGCCATTATTCGTTGGTGGCATGTTCGAAAGAAGGTGCAGCGCAGGGCTAATGTGTAGTGAATTTGAAGGGAATTCGCAAAAAAAGGGGTCATGCTTTTGAGGTTTTCCTACACCTAAAGGTACGAGGCCCCATTATAAGTGTCGAAGCAGCATGTTACGATTGAAATAGCAGATGTGAGAGTACGACACCGTTACACCAATTTCCCCTTTCCATATTTCCTTTCTATTTCATTCCTCTTTTTATCCTCATTCATTTGGTCTGTATCTCATCTTATTTGGTTTCCTATTCCTCCTTTTCCATTATCCTTTGGTTTATCATGTTATTATAATTATATCACCGACCAGGCTCGGGATGTACTGGCGCGCTATATCTAGCGTAATCCTGCAGTTATCCCTTAAAGCCAATAGCCTCGCGTGGCTATACGCAGGGTGATTCTATTTCTAGAAGGGTCTATTCCCTTTGGATGTGATAAACCTGGTTACCTGATGTTTTCTGGAAGTATAAAAGCACCTTGTACTGAATGATAGTGAAAGATTGAGCAAACCTTTCCTCGGGACATTCGATCCTGTGACACTTGGTTATCAGATCCAAGGTTTCAGCTCAACGCTTAACCGCTTGGCCCCCAGGAGCACGCGGAGGATGGAGTCGAAACTTCAATTCCTGTAAGAACAATGCACTTTCATTTAAGTTTCGACTCACCTCTCGCAGTTGCACCTGGGGTCCCCTTCGAAGGCGAGATGCCTCGCCAACCGTTCGATGGACTCCATCGACGGTGCCGATTTTACGCGGGGGCAAACGGCCTCGACCTGGCGAGCGTGTCAGATCCGGCGGAACACTCCCTGCGAAATTCGGAGAAGTTCGCAGTTCGCGACGACACTTGGAGTTGCGCGGAAATCTGCACAGCTGCGACCAACGACATCCGTCCGATGCGGATTCGTCGCTTCAGATCGACCGAGGCGAAAACGAAATCCTTCTGAGCGAGATCGAGTTTCAGCGCGACTGGGAACGGGACCTCGCAAGCCGCGAAGTTCTTCAGAGCGTCCGATCGTTCGACAGCCGACATCGACGACCGAGAATTGCTGCAGGAAACGAGTCCACCCGGACACCGATAGCTGCTGAACGCGACTCAGAATTATCCTCAGATCGCTTGGAGTTTGGACCGTCAGATCGACTTCTACTTCAACGGGCGAGATGGAGCGCGACTTCTGCACGAAGGGAGAATGACGCGCAGAACCAGAAATTGGCCGCCTTCAACAGCGTTAACAACATCTGGACAACCAAATTCGGACTCCTCTATTTGGTGACGAATATGGTGCGGAAATCGTCTGCAGAGTCAGAAATCTGCCAGAGTATTACCTACTTGGTAATATCTGCATGCAGAAAAATGACAGGAGAACGTTGCTCGTCGGATCGGTGCGGAATCAACGGCACGAATGCAGCGGAGACCACACTATGGGAAAACATCACCATGGAGACAACATTTGTGACCAGCGACCGCACAATCGACGCATCTTCTAACTCGTATTGATAACGATACGATTAATTTTGACGAAGTCATCTTCGATAAAAATGGATCGACATCAAGACAACGAATCTTCATCCAGGAAAAACAATGCAGCTGCGTGAAGACATGTTCTCCATCCATGAGACACTTCTTCATACAAATTGATCGACAACTTATGGGATTGCAGAGAAGTAGCCGTTTTCTCTTGCAATGCTCCCAAGTTCAAGTTGCTGCGAAGGAGCAGATTTCGCACGCAACGACGACGCAGTGAACCCGTCTCGTCAAGGCCAGCGAGACACTACTTCGTAACAGGAGCTGAACGATTCGTCTTCATCAAGAATCTCAGCCATCCGAGGTGATTGATTGGAGCAGTCTCACCATCGACCTCACGAGGCGACACACCAATCATGCGTCGCGATTCCAGGTGTTAATGACCTGCGTGGAAGAAAATTCCGTGCACGTCACGATGCTTGACAGATTGAGGAGTAATTAACCTCTAATCCGGCAAGTACTCGTTCACTAGCGACCCTACGGCACATGCATTGGAGGCGATTCTACCAGAAGCCGAAGCGTTACAAGCACCAACGTAACTTCGACGATGCAGGAGAACGTCAAGCAACACAAGTTGTCAACAAATGAGGGAGATGCGGACTACTACAACATGATCACGCGCTCTACCGACCGTACATCGGAGGCACGGATGAGCATACCAGGATTTGCTACCCGTGGATACATTGAGGGGAGAAGCAAATTTCTCTTCACACCCTCAAATGAAACAATCACCGGCAGCAATGGAGCAACACATGTGTACCAATGTGCATGTGTTCCTAGTAGTTACGCCTGTTACACCCATCAGGAACACTCTACTGGGAAGGGGGAGTTGATGGATTCTCCTTCAACCGGTACGAGTTGAGAGAATTCTCTGCAGCAGTTGCCGCCGTCGCCATCGTCGTAACCGCCGCCGCCGCCGCAGTAGAAGACTCGACACAACAGTCACAACCAAATCCTGATGGATGATTCTCCACTCAATAGAGATAATGCTGGATTATATTCCAGGGGATCGTAAAGTCCCGGCCAGGCACAATACTATGATTTCCAGCTAGTGGGGAGGAGATACCACTATGCGAGGAAACAATAGCTATGGCAATGCCATATACCCTCAAGAGCAGGAGATATTTGCTCTTATGAGAATGGGAGGACTACGGTACTCTACCGGTATACAAGTCCTCATGGCCTATGGCTTTCCTTAAAGTCATAAAACCTGCGTCACAACCAATCCATCACCAGCACCAACTCCACGGAAGCAGATAGGCGTGGAATGGAGCGCCGACGCCACTCCGGATAGTGGACTCCGCGTATCTCCAACAACACCCCTGTTTGCCGAAATGGAGAAGACTTCAACACCGATGCTGAGTAGCTGAGACTTCTTCGACATCAACGCTACTTCAAGGATAGTAACAGAATGAGACAACACATGATGGCACCAGAAGACCTATTCCAATATGTGCGCCCAGACACCGATGCCTACCGATGGCCTCCGTGCTAAACTGGGAGTGCATAAGGTCATACGGGATTGGCTATCAGCAATGCTCATTTGGAAACGGGAAAGGATTATTTGGGAATACCCCTAATATTCCCAAGTATCCTAACCCATCACCATGGGATATCTACGTAGCTGAGATTCCTTGCCTGAGCAACCACCGAGGGAAACTACTTGGCACCGATTCTGGAAGTTACCAGCTCCGCGTTTATGGTTCCAACCCCTCGCATGGTTCTGAACACAAGGGATACGCTGAGCAGCACTTCGCATGCGCTGTTGTACTCAAGGCAATGTGAGTAGCAGACCGCGTGGTGGACAGGGTTACTATTAGTGATTCTGCTCTCCATTCCGCAGCACTACGATGCCGAGTGGGTGCGACTCGCGACAACACTAAGGCATGGACCAGCTCGACAGAAGCAGTACTAGGACATGACTGCTATACCACCAACACTTGGAGATCTTCATACGTGGACTAGATGCGGGTAAAAGCATGCACAGCTCGGACAACATAGCCACTCATCTGCATGTTACAGCTTACTGTTCCAACAATTCACATCTCCAACTCCGACTTGCATCTGCCCATCCTGGAGTTTGCCTACAAGTATGCTTCTGACGCCGCTACTGGACAGACGCTGTACTTCGTCTGTTACGGGCGCCACCCGATCACACCACAACAGCTAACCATACCAGCCACAGTCCAACTGGCTTCCGATTTCATCGCCATCGTCCACCATCTTGTACATCGACCACACAAGCCCCTCTTGGACATCCAACAGCAGCAGAAGCACCTGGCTACTCATCACCACAGTTATCCACACCATAATCTCAACATCTGCCATCTTCTATCCAAGCGTCAACCTTGCTTCTGCGGGTCTATCATCGTTGAAGCAAAGGTCACTTCAGTCAACTTCCGCTTCCGCCTACCAGCCACTTGGAAGATCCATACCACCTTCCATACCAGCTTCTTAAACCCTATCAAGACCAAACACACTCTATACCGAATGCCAACCACTGTCGTCGCCATGTTCATCCACGACATGGGACAACTACGTACTTGGACACCGTCATCGTCAGAATGTCACTCTGGAGCTTCTTCTTTGGTGGAAGGGTTCTGATCCTTCTGAGGCTGCGTTTCTGAATTCGACATGGTTAACGCCCGTCGTCCTCTTCGCGACTACCTTGTCAAGCAGGGTGTTACGTCTACCACCCAGCTTTGAGGGGGGGAAGTGTGAGAGTACGACACCGTTACACCAATTTCCCCTTTCCATATTTCCTTTCTATTTCATTCCTCTTTTTATCCTCATTTGGTCTTTATCTCATCTCATTTGGTTTCCTATTCCTCCTTTTCCATTATCCTTTGGTTTATCATGTTCTTATAATTATATCACCGACCAGGCTCGGGATGTACTGGCGCGCTATATCTAGCGTAATCCTGCAGTAATCCCTTAAAGCCAATAGCCTCGCGTGGCTATACGCAGGGTGATTCTATTTCTAGAAGAATCTATTCCCTTTGGATATGATAAACCTGGCTACCTGATGTACTCTGGAAGTATAAAAGCACCTTGTACTGAATGATAGTGAAAGATTGAGCAAACCTTTCCTCGGGACATTTGATCCTGTGACAGCAGAGTAGCGTAGAGTGAAGTATCAAAATTGTGAACAATTCAATTCTGATCAGGATTCTCTTTTGAAAAAAAAAAAAACGTTTCTGAAGAATCAGACAAGGTTTGCGCACTGTGTCTGATGCATTTTTTA